CTGTTTGGGAAATCCAGCGGTTTTCTTTCATTCCAAGATAAATAACTGACGTAGCATTTATTCGACGTTCCTCAGCAGTTGTTAAGAAATCGTAAATCTTATTATAAATTTCAGTAGACATGTTTTATAAAAAATTTGGTGTTGGAGAAATAACGTAAATTGAGAAAGAATGAGAAATATCCTCGCAAAGTGACAAATAGCTAAAAATTTCGTATACTACCCTTTTAAATGGCCATTTACGTTCTCTCTGAGTTTGAATGTTGGGGGGAGGGACAGGAGAATATGCAATAGACCCTTACACCAAAATTTTGCATTGAAAATCTTGACATTTAGAAAGACATTGGGGGTAATACATATTTAGATTATTTTTATCTGTCTGGATATACTATTATTAGGAAAGTTTATCTCCTGCAGGTCTATAACTGAAGAAGGGAGAAAAAATTCGAATTTCCCCTTCGATCAAAGATCTTCAGGGCGAATAGCTATTAGGGTTTATCTCCTACATTAAAGGAGGGGTCGATTTATGTATAAAAATATTTTGTTGTACAAGCAGATAGTCGCACAGATGATTGGCAATGTATCACTATTACATCATATATGCACTTCACAAGCTTTAACGAGGATCAGGAACATGTTTATTTTGTCACACATGTCATTGGCAAGGCGTAGGTAAATATGGAGCTAATATAATACATTTCTCCGCCCAGGTCGATTTGTGAGAGATAACCTTTTCCTTTTTTGGTAAATTTCAGCTGGGCACCCAGTCAAAATCACATGTTTTATTTCTCCTTCACAGGTGATACATTCAGTAGGCGATCTATACAAAAAAAGAAAGGATCAATTTATTGTATTATTATGCTCCGCGTCTTACGGCTAATAAATATGTAATATACTATTTTGGTAAAGAATCTATAGCTCGGAAAACTCGTTGCACATACTCACAATTATTTTTCGAATCTGAGAAATCTATACTATTAAGTTTTCCCTCAATGGTGAGATATTCAGATTTATAATAGTCAATTTCTAGCGATTCACATGGATATACTTTGCCTGCTATTTTACACATGTATCGTCCATATTCTGAACTTCTAACAAAGTTTACATTGCCATTATTGAGGTATTTAACAATACAGTGATATTCAGGATTTGATAGCCACTTTAACATATAAGACCAATCTGAACATTCAACGATTCTATAACCTTTCAGATGTAATTCTATAAAAACAACTATGTATGCCACAATAAGTAATCGTTCCCTTAACTGATATTTCTTCTTTTCTGCCCAGTCGTATGGAACATGATTATTATATAGTCTATTTAGAAAATCTTTAGATACATCTTTTGCTAGAATTTTTCGATCAATATACCATACATATGGATCATAAACGTCTCTATGACCACGAGGACAAAGACACTTCTTTTCGTCAGGAGTACTATCATATCTCACCATATTCCAAACTCGTTTTGCCCATGTCTTAGGTCTTAACTTGAAAGTTCTCCAAGCCTGTTGGATAATTTTTATGCTGTTAAATATGAAATAAGCAATTCTCTGTCTAAATTCATAGCCCGTATTATGTGTATGAAAACCACGCTGTGGATATACAGAATAATTTATAAAAATCCCTTCAACCTCATCAGAACTAAGTGATGATACTCTTCCCACTTTTTTCGTATTTGTTTGTATATGATTAAATAATGCTATGCACCTTTCAGCTGTTTTAACCATTTTACGGATATAGGATAGCAGTTTAGTGATTTATAGCGTTTTTAGCAATTTTAATGGCTTATAGTGGTTTATAGCAAGTATATGATAATAAAATATCAGATTCATTTTTATTCGGGGTGGAAATGGCTTTATAACTGATTTTTTTGATTCGGTTAAATTAGATCCGAGACAATATACACAACATGATCATCATTGTATTACAGTACACCTGACGCACCTCATTAGTCCCCAGTGCTCTCCCGTCACTTTCGGTTTGTAGATCTCTCGTGATTAACAGGGATTAGCCGGAGGTATTGCAGTATAACATAAAAATTTGTATCACTCTGGCTCCCTGGCACTTCCTCGCAACCTTCCCGCAACTCAAATCACGAGATGAGGCAGTTTAATTTATTCGATGAGCGCATTTATAAGAAAAATTTTGGACATGCATGTCCACTAATTACTGGGTGAGTATCGATCAAAAAATCTGGACACTAATTATGCAGTGTGAGTATCGATCAAAAATTCTGGCTAAACTTTATTAATATATGTTTTCAGAACACTTTTTTTACACTATAATAGATATTGCCGGACGTGGCAAGTCACAGGCGCAGTAATCTATGGCGTAGTACACTAAACTATCCCCGAAGCACTTTAGCAATTACATATTTAATGACAAAGCCGTTATAGTTGATAGTGAAAAGGTTTTAACTCTTTCTATCATAGCCTTACATCCACATTGATGCTGTTTTCGCACATATGCTCAAACCCCGAGAAAAAAAAAGCTGACTTTGATCGTTACCAATGGTAACGGTTTTTGCCAAGAAAAACTTCACTTATGAATTAACTGACCATGAATAGTTCGCCAAGAAAAAAATCAATCAAAAAACAGGAATATAAGCATTTTCCCGATGCACACGAAAATGTGTACATGTGAATCGACCAGAGTCGTTTTATTAACACAGAATACAAATGATTCAGCTCATAGCCGTGAAATTTTGTTTTACGATTCCACTAGAGAGTGGATCTCGAGAAGACATGCAGAATTGTGCGTCAATATACGGATGACCCAAAAAAAAGCATTTTCGAGATAGAAATTTCGTAGTCTGATTTTATTAAAGCAACTGATGATCCTCTCGCAATTAGATTAGGATGGGGCACGTCCTTAAAATTAGATGAGTAAGGTTCGATTGTATCACGAGTTAAAAAAAAATCATGGCCACAATGTGGGCAAACGAGAATATTAATAAAACTTTTAAAGCAAGCCTGAAACGCGAAAAACTTTAATTTTTATTACAAAATATAATATACATTTTTTCAATGACATCACATAGAAGTTGCGTAAAAAAATTGATCATATGTTGACTAAATAAATATAAGACTATAAATTGATTCACAATACACAATAACCTATAAAATCATTTATTCTGTTTTTTTTTCGGAGATGGTGTTGTATCTGGAAGGTTATTAATTGAAAATAAATCTTCTGGCTTTGAATATAAGCGAGCCCTCTTTACTTTTTTAATAACGCCGAGAACTTTGTTTATATCGCACTATATTGTCAGAAATAGTTAGAAAAAAACTGAAGTTGCAAGATAGACACAACTGAGATATATAAAGACATACCTTCAAACAAAGTATCTTTTTTAAGGTCATAAGACTATCTGGGACACTTGACCATGTTGTTCCTATTCGATATCTGCACAAAATAATATTCAAGGTCGATATTATAATACATGGCATATATCTTGCCATTGAGGCCTATTGAATGATAAATTATTTCAATCAATTGTGTAATAACTAATATAATAAAATTTTTCTATTATTTCTAATGATTACCTCCATGCGACATTCCATGTACGAAGATATTTTTTACCTCTTTGATCGATTCTTTTGTAAATTCCAACTTTTTTAGAAGTCGGTCCAGCTGATCCTTCATTTCTCTAAATAATTTGTTTATATGATATTGGTTTTGAATTTTGAGGATCTTCATCAACATATGTTTCTGCACTAAAATATTCTACATCATCAACGCGAAAAATTATGTCTATTTTATGTCCAGAGGATTTTTTTTCAGATTCTTCCCTAGTTAAATTTTTGCGCATTATTGATGCCAAGGACATTTCTTCACAGCTGAAATAATAAAAAAAAAAGGATTTAAGAAACACTAAGTTAATTTAAATATTAAATAATTTATAATCTTACCGATGTACATGGATTTCTTCACATATTAAAAAACAATCGTCAATTAGAGGAGCAAAAATATGACAATTTAACCACCCTTCAGAATTCTTATCTAGAAGTGGATTCCGAGGAGCTTCGAAAAATAATGATCTAGATAATAAAACCAATTTATTGTAGCCAGTCTTAATATAATAAAGCAAACGAAATGAGAACGAATTAAATAAGAGATTTAACTCACAATTTGTCAGCAAACCGGTGTACCCAATGCACCTCATAATGTTTACTGAAGGAATAAGTTTCACCAGATGGGATGAATGGAAGTAGAAGTTTATTCCGTAAGTCATTGCGGGTATCGCTTTGAAATATAGTAAGGAAGTGGTAAGATTATGAGAGAAAGAAATTACTAGTGACAAATCCTTAAAACCCTATTGGTATTGCAGTCTTTCCATTAAATTTTTATTTGTAGTGTCAACTATGTTCGAGCAAATGGGCTCCCTAGGCCAATAAAGTTAATTAATAATATAATACGTTAACTTTAACGAACACGTTTCATCCGTTTTACCTACATTGTGGATTTTGCTCGCTGTTTCTCATTTCTTAATTGTGTAAGTAAATTTTGATTCTCCGATGTAGAGTAAATTTGATGAGGTGGAGTATGTGGTCTGTTATACCCGGGATTATTAACTTCATCCATCATTTTCGTATCTCCTATGCTAGAACCCGCACTTTCTAAGGATTGTAAATTTGATGATGACGTATCTTTCCAATGTGATCTTGAAATTGTGCTCTTATTACTACTAATGAAATCACCGTCATCGTCATCCGCATTCGTGTTAGTAGTATTGACCTGTTCGCGCAACCAACTTGATGATGATGGGTTTGGTACTCCTGGTGATGATGATGGATTTGGTACTCCTGGTGATGATGATGGCGTGTCTTTCGTGGTTTTGGCCTGTTTACGCAAAAAAAAAATAGAAAATTTTGAGAAGAATTCACGGTAACAAATCCTTATAATCATAGGGATGCATTTAATACTGACTTTCTTAGCTGAACCAACCGACTCTTTGTTCTGTAGATATAATAAATCATTAAAAATTATTGTATAAAATTCAATACAATATAAGGCCTTATCAACATCCTAACCTTTTTCGAAAGAGATAACTGCTTTTTCCGCTTTGGTATACGGACAGGCATGAAATCATCATCGGACTAAATACAAAGAAAGAGTTAATATCTGACAGCCAACATTTTGTCGATTCACACAACTTCTAGCAAAAAATGCACACCTCTAAACGTTCATTTAGTAATGAAGCATCTGCATCTATCTCTCGAAGATTTGAAACTTTCGAAACTTTCGAAACGATTGTATTTACATTATGTTTAGCCGTTGCGTCCAATATTTTTAGACTACCAGATATATGATTATTGATTACGGATTTCTGTTTATCAAATTATAATGAATAAAATCAATAAATGTACTAGCAATAGAGCAAGCAAAATTGTAAATAATCTTGACTTACTTGTCCTTTTTCATTGACAATATTTTGCCAATGATACATTAAGGACTTATTCGAAATTTCTGATTTCACCTGTTATGGAAAATAATTAATTAGTAAAAATATTTTTGTGAATATCAATCATAGCGAAGCCCATAAAAACGCAATGATGGCGCCCAGCCGATCACCAGATACTCCAAAGTCAACCGATCACCAACTCAGGAGCGCAACCACCATCACTTGGGCCAGCCGATCACCGAATACCCTTAATCAACCGATCACCAATTAAGAGCTCCCTTTTATTTATATTAGAAAAAAGGAATAGTAAATAAAACCTTTGCATGTATATCATCGTATTTTTCAGGAATAATATCTTTTACGCTTCTTAAGAATCTCATTTCCCATGCAGTTTCTAAACCACTCCAGTCATCAGTATTCGGTGGAGAGTCTATAATCATTTCCTTGTAAAGGTCTACGAACTCGCGAAATGAACAAGTCTCGTTATGATTACTTATGTAAGAACAAATGGCTAAAGAGATGGTTGGTTAGTAAGCTTCTAAAAGAGAATACTAAGGAGTCACCATGCAATTAGAACTTACACGTATAGCCTTGATAATATTCTGACATTTTTGAAAATTGGAAATGAGGAGCGGAATAAGGACTAATATATATTGAGAATCAATTGTCGTACAATCAGATCCATAGTCATATGATAATCAATCTTACACAAGCCACCCATTCAGATAGCGCGAATCATTTTTATTGCTTCTTGCAGAGCTTGCTTAAAAGTCTGGCAAGACATTTTTTAACTTAGATCAGATCTTTACCGATTTTTTTACAAAGAAAAAAAAATGATACTTTATTAATGATCTTTCACGAATCAGAAAATGCTAGAGAAGCAAGCGAAATAATATGATGCTATCAAGAGGGAGGGAGTACGCGGATCCTAGGCCATCTAATGCGAGTCCCAGCATCAAGTTATTTCTTCGCTCTCTCACGTTTAAGAAAAATATCTATAACTAATTTGTTTCTATTGCTAATATTTCTAATTACAAGATTCTCATCCCTATACTCTTTTTCTACATTAGATTTTCGAAATAAATTATCCCACTCATGTCTACAGGATTTTTGTCTATCTATATCTCTCCCAAAAACGCAGATTATGTAAAATAATAAAATAATATTCCCCGTAATGAAACTTCTCGGAGATTAAGTAAATTCGAATCTATGGATAAATTCGGGAGATTAGCAACTGAGGTAAAAAAATATATTTCCGATTCATACTTACCATTATTACTTAATGCATTACAATAAAGGTAATTCGATTTTTTTATTGCCAGTACGATACTGCGCCAAAGTTTATTGAGGAGTGTGATGTTAAGGCATGTGACGAGATTTATGTGAGTAATTTCACTGTGCCTATTGTACGCGTGATGATTGTCAAAGATTTTCTCGGCGAAGATCAAAACGTCGATATATAACAAGAGTAATGCGTCCGTTTTATTTTGGAACATCTATAGAGGCAAGAAAATCTATTAACATTGTGATGACATGTTTCAAGAAGTTAACCCGAACTATAAAACCAATATACCTTATTATTGTTTTGCGGAATATAGGAGTTCGTTTGATCAAGGATATTAACGATGTAAATAATGGTATGTTAGATTGGTTTTGATTGTTTCGTTTTACTTGCACAAGGCGGATAAAAGGGTTCACTAACTGTCTCAACTTCTTTTTATATGACTTGTAATGGGTTTAAGGTTCGATTTTCGGAATAAATCTTTGGGGAAATCACGTTATTATGATTCATCACGAAAATCAGATCAACGGATGCTCCCTAAAATTATAATAGACACAGGGATCGTGTCCCTGGGGGACTTTTTATTATTAATACATGCAAAAGCTTGAGTATATGCAGGAAGTTTCGAGAATAAATTACATAGTGCAATGTCCTAATGATACTACGCATTTATAGGATCTGGATCCTCAGATGAAAAACTGAGAAATATTAGCGTATAAACACTAGATATGACATATAAATATATTGTGTTTAATGTGCCTTAGCTTTATTGATTGTAAATAAAAAAAATACATATTTTTGTTTACACTGCGGAATAATATCTAGTGCAACAATGCCATCATGTAGCTACAATTGCGAACTTGAGTTTATTGCTTGAAGTATTGCAGGTAAGACAATATTCCAACTTATCTTGGGAATACAACTTTGCTAATTCAGGATCATAAGGGAACTGATTCCCATTTTCACAGTACCATGAGCCATGTAATCCATAATTCCCATGTTTTCCATCACAAATGGGGCATGGTGAACTCCACGGCTGAGGTGATGTAAAATCATAATTATCAATCCCTCTGAAACTATTTCGGAATTTCAGGTATGTGAAATGCTTTAAGACGGATTTGATAATTAATTCTGGATCGGGTCTGGCTTTAAAAGTGATAGGCTTGAAATCAGAGGCTTGAGGTTTTTCTGATATATTTATCACGGCTTCTGATAATTGCCATGGCTCATTTCCAGTTTCTTTCTTATATGTTTTATATAATTTGGAGCGAATTTTATCTGTCAAAACGC